GAGCAGCCCTCTTCAAGATCCGCTCTGCTTACCCCACAAGTGCAGGGGGACTAGGAAAGATGTCTTAAGCATACTATTTTTCTCCTGGTTGGATAATTATGTCAAATGGGTCACCTGTACTGCAGTCAAAATCAACAAAGAGACACAATCAATTTTGGGACCTGGAACATCAGGACCCTCATGAACAAACTTAATAGTGAATGCCTAGAGAGCTACACCGCAGGTATGGCTGGGGAACTGAGGTGACATAGCAATGACATCGCACTGAGTGAGACCCAGCAAGCAGGAAATGGGCAACTTAAAGAACAAGGAAGTTCTTGTTCTGGAAGGGTAAACAGGAAGGAGAATGCCGGCTTCACAGAGTTGGTTTTGCCATCACGAATGAACTCATAAACCAATTCAGTGAGTTCCCTATTGGGATTAATGAGCGCCTCATGACTCTCCATCTTAAACTGGCAAGCAGGCAATACATTATTGTTATCAGTGTTTATGCTTGGACTCTTGACACCGCTGATGAAACCAAGGAGGAATTCTACACCAGGCTTGAGCAAGTCCTTTCTGGCATTCTGGAGGGAGACAGATATTCTTCTTGGTGATTTTGACACCAGAGTTGGAAGGGACTCAAATCTCTGGAATGGAATCATTGGTTAGAAAGGAGTGAGGAAGGTCAACTCCAGCGGCATTGTCCTCTTGACCAAATGTGTGGAACACAGACTCACCAACACCCTGCCAAAAAAATAGGCACAATACATCATGACAATACCTGTGGTCCAAGCATTGGCACTTGATTGATTAGGTCATTGTTTGTGCCTGGGATTGCAAAGATGTCCGCATCACCTGAGCCATGCTAGGAGCCGACTATTACTGGACCAATCACCGACTCATCCGCTCGGTTATGTTATTCAAACTGGTTTTCAAACGACGGCTGTAGCAGAAGCAGTGCCGACAGAAGATCAGTATCAGAGGACTCAAGGACCCAATCAAGTGAGACCTTTTCCATGAAAAACTGGCAAGTTCCAATCAACAACAATGGGAGAATGTTGGCAGCACTTGGGGTGCCTTCAAGTCCACCGTCATCAGTACCTGCTAAGACATTCTTGGATTCTCTACCAGGAAACATCAAGACTGGTTTCATGAGAATGACCAGGAGATCCAAGCGTTGATCAACCACAAGCGTAAGGCCTTTTGTGCTTGGAAAAATGACATCAACTCCAAGCAAAAGAAATGGAATCACCAACAAGCCAAGGCAAAGGTCCAAAGGAGGACGCGATATGAAGAACAGATGGTGGGAAGACAAGGCAAAGGAGATTCAACATCTCACTGACATCTGTGATATGAAAAGTTTTTTTCAGGCCACCAAGGCCATCTATGGTCCGAGCACTCAGAGACCAATGCCCTTGAGATGTAAGGATGGAGGAGACCTGATGAAAGAAAGAGCCATCAATGCCTGTTGGAAGGAGCACTTTGAATACCTTTTCAGTCGAGACCCTATTGTTGACAAGAGTGTACTCAACTCCATCTTGCAACACCCAGTCAGAAATGATCTTGGAATCCCTCCAACCCTTGACAAGGTGAGGAAAGACATCAAGCAGATGAAGAATGACAAGGTATCTGGAGCTGGTGGAATTCCCATTTAAATCTTCAAGCAGGGGGGAGAGGAGCTCATATCCAAGCTCCATGCCCTCATCTTAAGGATCTGGAATGATAAGGAAATCCCAGATAACCTCAGGCACACAATGATCATGATAATCTTTGAGAAAAGAAACAAATCTGTCTATGAAAATTACAGAGGGATTGCCTTGCTGTCCACCACAAGAAAGATCATTTTGAGAAGCCTCCTGAACATTCTCCTTCCACTTGCTAAAGAGGTCCTTCTGGAATCTCAGTGTGGGTTTAGGGCATCTAGAGGCACAACTGACATGATCTTCAAAGCTCGTCAGCTGCAGGAAAAATGTCAGGAACAATATAAACCTCTCTACATGGCCTTCTTTGACCTCACAAAAGCCTTTGATTCTATCAACCGAGAAGTGCTGTGTAGGATTCTTCTGAAGTGTGGATGCCCACTGAAATTCATCACCATTCTCTTGCTTGCTTTATGATGGTATGTGAATGGTAGTTTTCAATAATGGATCTATCACAGATCCCTTTGAGGTTAAGATGGGAGGTAAGCAAGGCTGCATCATCACTGCAACACTCTTTTTGATATTTCTTACTGCGATGCCACATCTGACCACCAGCAAGCTTCTAGTTGGAGTGAAGTTAAACTACTGCATGGATGGTAAGTTGTTCAATATCAGCTGACTCCAAGCCAAAACCAAGACCACCCTGACCAGAGTCATTTAGCTTCAGTAGGCTGATGATGCTGTAGTCTGTACTCACTCACAAGCAGACCTTCAGGCAACTGTTGACGTCTTTACTGAGGCATATGAGAAAAAGGGACTGACGCTTAACATTCAGAAGACTAATGCCCTCCATCAACAAGCTCTTAATGAACAGTCCCCAGCTCCACTAATTCAGATTTACAGTGAAACTCTGTAGAACACTGAGTATTTCCCATACCTTGGAAGCCATCTCTCACAGAAGGCAGTCATCTGTGAAGAAATCCAACATTGCATCCAAGTGCAGCCTTTGGATGGCTGAGGAAACGGGTGTTTGAAAATTGTGACATCAGATCTGAAACCAAGCTCATGGTTTATCAAGCAATCATGATACCTACCTTCCTGTACGGAGCTGCGACATGGACAACATACATGAGAGACCTCAAATCATTGGAGAAATACCATCAGTGCTGCCAGTGGAAGATTCTTCAAATCCAGTGGGAAGACAGATGCACCTACGTTAGCGTCCTCTTGCAAGAAAACAGCACAAACATTGAGGCGATGATCATCCAACATCAACTTCACTGAGCCAGCCATGTCATCTGGATATCCAACTCCAGACTCCCAAAGCAAGTTTTATTCTCCCAGCTCAGTCAAGACATATGAACTCTCAAGAGGAGGGGAGAGAATGCACTTCAAGGATGTCCTCAAGGCCAACTTAAAAAATGCAACATCGGTATCAACCCATGGGAGACTATCACCGAGGACTGCCCCAAATGGAGGAAGTATCTGCTGCAAGGATCTCAATACTTTGAAACCTTATGATGGTAGCAGGAGACAGAAAAAAGGGAGTGACAGAAACAGTGTCATGGACTGAACCAAGGACCCAGGACCCTGCATGGAAACATGTGCCTGAGCTACAACAGTGTGTCGATTCTGGATACGCCTCATCAGCCATCTTCGGACCCACGGATAAGACAAAAATGGAAGGCAGCTGTGAAAGATTGATGACGATGACCCCTGGGAATTTCTCTGACCCCTCCCACTGCTATACATTCCTATGCTGTGCATGGCTCATTGCAATCCCATTACTCTTACCATGTTGTACCAGCAAAAATAATTCCTCTCCCTTTTATTTATGTACTCCTGCTAAAATCAGTGGTAAAACATAATCTCCCTGGGGAGTATTCAGGGAGAAGGTTGCTGTGACCACAGCTTAGGTACCACTTTGTTTCTTCTGCCCTTTTATAAATTCTGGATCCTTGCCCTGGACACCAGATTTCCTTTCCAGCTCTGCTACTATAGACTAGCTATTGTTTCTAGGTTTCATTTTTTTCTCTTTGTACAGTAGACACTGTACAGCTTTGCTGCCTCATTAAGCTTGTAAGGCTAGTTTCATTCTTTCTAAAGCACTTTGAAGCCTTCAGGTAAAAGCACTATGAAATGACTTAACTGTATTAATGCAATGACTGGGCAATATCCAGATACCTGATTTTTGTTCTTGAGACCAGCATCTGCCAAGTTACTGTTCGTTTGAACATAATCTTATCCTATTGCTTGATTAGTTAACTAAATTAGAACCAAGCTACTAAAGATGCTTTGGTGTTCCCCATTTTATTCTTTTATTTTGAATTCTTTTGAGTAAAATTATTACTGGTTAAAGGTACTATGTTGTGATTCCTGAAAAGCCATATTCATTTTTAGACCATAAGCTGGTCATGCTTTCTCATGCTGCACCCTGCTACTGCGCTTCAAAATCTGTTATGAAAAGACAGTTTCAAGAGATGAGAATGTTGTTCAGCCCCAGGGCCCACCCAGTGCTTTGCTAAGAGTTGCAGTAAATGTAGCAGTGAAACTGTGATGCCTTTTGTTTTAAGGTATTGCATCTTTGTATTTCTAAAAACTCACAGTATAGATAGTGTTCAGCAGCCATTTTGTTCTCATTGTTTTTGTAGCCTGTACAGACACAGACAGAAGTAGTCTCTAAGAGAGAACACTCTGCATCTCCTCCCTTCTATTTTACAGCAAATCTGAGAACAAAATTGTAACTGGATTTTGCACACAGCAAAAACTCTTAGAAATTAAAATATGATATGTTTGAATCATAGTTACACCCAAAGGGCCAATGAAGATGGTGCTTTTTTGTCAGTCATGTGGACTCTTGTCTACAGAAACAGACCGACTCCTTTTACATAGATCACCAAATAGCCACGAAAAACATCTTTTTGTTGCTAAAAGTTGGATCTGGATTTGAATTAGTGACCCAGAGATGAACTGTTCCAATATCCCTTTGCCAATCAGCTCAGCCATATAGATGTCCAAGGAGTACTATTTTTATATCTTGCATTTTTTATCATCCAATTATGACTTACTGTATATTGGGTATAGAGTTATACATCTCTTTTGAAGTGTGTGGGTGAATATCTTACCAGATGCACTTTGTAGGCCTCTCTTAGGAGTTCAGATGGTGCTGAATTAGAATTTCTGAGGACCTGTCAAAAAACTAATATATAAAAGAAAACCCCAAACATCAATACCAAGAATAGAAAAACCAAACCTCTAAAGCTTCCTGGTTGTAAGGCAAATGAAGAAGTGTGTGTTTCGGCTACATTGCCAGCAGGTGGACTCTGACAGATCTTATAGACCTCGCACTTCCTGTGGAGGCAGCCAGAAGAACAAAGCCAGTAGAGGTGCCTTTTCTCCTCATCGTCCCACTAGCTGCTAAATCGTGGCCTCTGGCCCCCCAACACAATCTAGGGGGAGCAAGATGAAGTGGAAAGGGATTGTTATCTCCGCCATCCTGCAGGCACAGCTCCCAATTACAGGTAAGGCAGGCTTTTCATATTACAAGGACTTATTTTAAAACTCTTTTGAGGTGGAGAAAGAACACAATGTTTCTGTCAGATCCCCGCCCATCTGGCACTAGTAGAGTATCAATATGTGAACCTCTACCATCCCTGTCCTCCTAATTATGACTAGTTATGCACTAGTTCAGAACCGGGGCTGCAAGACTTGCCAAAAATGAGGTCTTTGCTATATAAAAAAAATCCTTTGGATGGTGGGGAGGGGAGAAGGAAGAACAGCAGCAGCTACCTGCCATTGATGAGGCCTGCCTTTGTTGTGTCAGAACAAAAGACGTGACAGCTGAATATCATTTTGTAATTAAACAGGGTTTCTGAGCATCACCCCAACACGTCTCTCTCTTATATTTAAGAAATAAAAAGTTGATATGCTGGGTGCAACCACTTCCAATAAGCTGCCTGAGAGAGGCCTTTCATTTTGCTAGATACAGTTATTGCTGCGCTGACCTTAAGGGCCACTTGAGTGTTTGAGAAATACCACACCCTAGCAGTTCAGAGGCCGCTGTCATGATATTAGGAGAAAAGTAGAGGCAGTTATTTCTCCTACCCCCCATCTTGTTACCTTCCTGTATCTTTGCCTTCAGCAGTCACAACTAATTACAGTGAGTAAAGTTTTCTTGACTTTCTGTACTTTGTGGTTGTGTATGAATCGACCCAGTTTGAGCTGACAGTGGAGTGAGTGCCGAACTTCCACAAATTAAATTAACACTGAGATAGTTTATAAATCTGAATAGATTAAAAGAACAAGTGAATGTATGTGACAGATACAGCACTCTTATGAGAAAAGTTTTGAGGACCTCTACATATTTTCAAATATACAAGGTTTCTGGTGGTTATCGAAAAATCCAGCATGCTCGCTAACACGGTGGGATGACCTCCAGTTAATTTGTGGATTTTTCACTATATTAGCATTATCTACATTAAGTATCCACCCTTACATTTGTGTTACTATGCAAACAATTGTGCCTATTATAATATTTATATGCATTCACATAAATTGCACTGTGTTCATAAGTAAATGTAAGATAACTTCAATGAGTAGGAAAAGTGCTTTCCTCAATCCTATATAGAATATTTTGAAAATGATGTTCCAAGGGATGGCAATCTTATTTTGATAGAAGCGCAAAGATCTGGAAGCAACTTAAGGGCAGAAAGTGTCTGAAAAGGTCCTTTTCCTGATGATCCTCTTTCTTTTTTTTTTCAATAAATAGAATATCAATATTTAGCATGTTTCAAGTTCGTATTGTACTCTTTTTTTTTTTTTTTTTAGCAAAAAAGCCATATTAAAGGAAATATATCAGGCAATGTAATAAAATCTGGACATTTCTTAAGCACCAGTCCTATCAAGACCTTTCTGTGGAACAATCTTGGGAATAGCCATACTCACAGGAAGAAACTATTTGAGAATAATACACAGCGCACCAAATTTTCCTATACAGTTCCCATTGACTTAAATAGAGCTAGTTGTTTATGTATCTAAGGGCAGAGTTTTTGGCTGGAGTTTGTAATATTAGATAAACCTTTTCAGTTTAGGATTAAATGGAGAGTTAGAGTAAGGATTCATTAAATCATTCTACTGATGTATTGATACACTAATAAAGATGGGAAGTACAAACCACTAATCTAGGTTAAACCTTTTAACAGGCAAGTGAATTTCTAGGAACAGACTACGGATCCTAAATTAAGAATCTCTGCTGTTGAATTACATATTGAATACGTGTTGAATGTGCTGTTGGCATGTTCTTAGAGAGAAGTATGTCTTTATTTTATGCAGAACAGGGTCACTGTAAGTCATGATGTGGAATTTTCAATGGCATATTACAATGTATTCAAACCATGGTGCTCAGGATTTTCAATTTACTTTATCATAATAAGGCTTGGTTCTGTCACAGACCACTGTAGGGAGATTTTTCTGCTTGTACAACTAGTCCACCAAAAGGTGCTGGCTCCAGGAATGGTCCTTGTTGCTCTTGACAGCATTGAACTAAATGTATCAAGCGATAGAACCTGTTTTTAAAAGAATAATCTAGGACCTTTCCTGGAGCCAGCACCTTTTGGTCTTTTCAAATTTGACTAGAAGTCTACCAGGTCTACAAAATTCTGATTACAAATTCCAGATGTTGAGTGGCCAGTTCATGCCCACAAATTTGAAGGTGGTTGGCATTGGAGTTTGACGAATTACAGGGAAAGGAGCTGCTGCTGAAATTCAGACCCAGGTTCAAATTCTGGTTCGAAGAGGTCAGGAGTGTTGTCTCTAGAGGGCCTAGTTCAGACCTCTAAATGTTTCATTAGAGGGAATTTATCAAAGAAAATAAATGCGCACTGACACTCTAAGCCAGGCCATTTTGTTTATCCTGCTGTTTAGGGAAAATTAAAAGATATTTTTTCTAGCTATAGTAAAAGGACCCCCCAAACAAAAAGCTCCCTGCAGTATTACAGTAGCAATATGGCAGTGTTTGAGGCAGTATTTTACAGCCAGTGCCTTTATTTTTCTGTACGGGTGAACAGGTTAATTTGATATCCATGTGTAAGAGTTCTAAAAGGGCTCTCCTTCCCTGTTTTCCACTCTTTCTTGGATTCAGTCTCCTCAAATCCTGTATTAAACAAAACGAGGCACCAGACTATTTTTGCCAGCTATGTCGAAGCTAGACTGTGTCCACCCTTGACAGATGTTGCTTGAAGTCGCTCAGTATTTTGCCGCCCTGTGTAATCATCTCTTCTACCCATAGGATAACGTGAGACCCAGGAGCCTTTGGCTAATCACCACACAGGCAACAGGAAGAAATGGGCAGGGTTGTGTTTTTAAGGTTCTTTTCTTCATTCCTTAGAAGTTTATCTAAAAGACCTGCATTAAAAAGAAAAGTCTTTACAAGTATATACAGGATAATGAAACAAATATAAAGGCCGACTATTTTTGGTTACCACTCCCCGCACTGTCTGTGCTGTCTTGGTGCTACCAGAAAAACCTACACGGGACTTAATTTTATAGTATTGTGCCTTTTTTTTTCTGTTCACAATGATTCATTAATAATTCATGACAAAAACTCAGAATTGGGAGGTTACTGTATCAGAGAAAATGCAGGCAAATGCAGCCTTTCTTTGTTAAGGGCCATTTGTTAAGCTTCAGCAGTGAAATGTTCCATTTCTTTAGTGATTGTTAATGTTATATGGCAAGTGCTTTCTATTAAAACACTTGTATGCTAAATTCCTAATGAGTGAGAGAACAGGTTAATGATGCACTCCTGCCTTTTGAGTGCTCCCTGTATGGAGAGTGTATTGAAAATGGAAGGAGCCGTTTGAAAATATATACTTTTCCATTATAAGTTTACTCTTGTTAGATTGTATTATGGAAAGAGGGGCCGAGTCTTTGCCTCAGGAAAACAATGGGAAATTTGGTAAGGACTTCAATCGGATTTAGTTAGTGGTTATAAATTCCTATAACATGCACTTTTGATGCCGGTTCTTTGTGATATTCTCTTATATAATGTAACATACCCTTATACAATGCTTTGAAATATAAAAATCCCAAAATAGTTTTGAACCTCAACAAATAGCATATGAATTCTATGTTTAAACCAGTGATAATTTTACCATCCTTCCTAACTTGAAATTATAGTCCAAAAACTATTCCTCGGCCCCAACAATGAAACAGAAAACTGGTCCAGAACTTGGAGTTTTGTAGATCCATAAAATATATCAGTGAAGGAACAGATGGGGATACTTTAAATAAAGTATATAGTATATCTGCTCAATTAATACAGCACAGATAGAAGACGTGAAATTTTAAAAAATTGATAGAGTATTTTAGCTGCTAAAAGCATCTGTTTTGTGTGTTCATATGTGCATATATAAAATATTTCACTATTGTATAAACCTGACAATAATCAAAAGCGACATTAAAATTTTACTGATACTTTTTTATTGCTAAAAATAGTTTATGCTTTCCTTGAACCTTGGAGAAGCTGAATTTTTGCAGGCTTTTCTGATGTGCATTAATGTATTTCCTGACATTTAGAGACTAGCTTTGGCTATAGTTCTGTTAATTAAAATTCAGTTCTTCCCCTTTAAAAAAAAAAAGTACATGTAATTTGTACCCTTTAAGGGATGACCTTTAGAACCAAATTTTTCAGAGGGAGCTAAAGGTATGTTATGTGAAACTCAATATTGCCATATGCAACAGGTTAATATTTACATATACAAACCAGATATATGTGCTTTCAGACAGATTGTTGAGTTTTCAGTTCCTCATTCTGCAAATGCAAATATTTATTGAATGCACAACGCTGGACAGTGAGTGTGTAAGTGTTTAACTGGGCACAGTGAATATGAGTCCTAGAATATTTGCACGCGGTTTACAGAAATACTGTGGGTATACTTTTTCTCCTCTCCTTCAGCTGGTTAGCTATTAAAATATAAAGAATCATATCTGACTGCTAAACCTTTAAACACATGTTCACGCGTATGCACATATGCACATATATGCACACACACGTATTGATGCCTGTGCAAGTTTCATTTTAATAAGAAACTAAATTAATTTTAAACAATATATGCCTCAAATATTTTACCTCCTTGTAAAGTCCTAAGAAGAAACCACCCCTGAAGTTTATGGTCTTTCCTCATAAGATAGGATTTTTCCTTTGAATTCCAAATAATGGCGGTCAAGTTGGAGAGAAAAATGTAACTAAAAAAGGGAAACTGAAAAAGCAGGGATGCTGCTACCTTCAATATTGGTTTTAGTATGTAAGAAGGATGACTGAAAGTTTGTTAGTTGGACCAACTAGGTTGCAAAGCTCATTCAAATGCTGTAGCATAAAATATTAAATCTTTTTGTTAAAAAAAACATAATCTTGCTGAAATAGTTCAGTTCTATCCATCTCCTGGCTTTTTTTTAGAGAGAACAGCACTAACAGATTTGTGAAAATTGTAATTAAAAGGAAAAACCACACAAGTAACTTTATGCC